AATTAAGAATCATTTAGTAAATAAAATTAATCTAAAATTAATGATAAAGAAAAAAAAGATTAAATTAATATAATAAATTTAGATTATCTGATACAACATTAGTACCAGCAGTAAAACGAACTTATGCAACACATATTCTCCGATCCGAATCACCACAGCACAGCGCATGAGTCAGTAGTTTTTGCCTCTGACATTCAAGCCATTTGGGGAGAATTAAAGTGCACGCACTTTTTGTAAAAATGTTCGATTTGACCCGTGTTTCTTATGATGGTTTAGTTTGCTTCCTAGCAGTTTTTTACCCAGTTTCGATTCGATTTCATTGTTTATTTGGTCAGGTACGTTTGTGAATTAGTTCTTAATCGTAAATTATGTATTAATTTGGAAAAACAGTTGATTTTCTTTCATTCGTATTTTGCTGCCACCAACAATGTCGGTTAACATAAAGAAGTATATTCCATACAGTGTCACGTACTTGAAATTTAGATTTGCTCAATCGCTGTCGAACTCTCAACTACCCATGAATTTATTTTATAACAAAATTTAATATAATGAGACAATGGAGTCTTCCCGTTAGCAGAAGCATTTGCAAAATACTCATTCTCACAAACAAAATAAAGATTTGTCATTTTTCGCGAACATCAAAGACAAGTTCCTGAAGGCACCTTTGGCCTCTGGCTTACTTACAACCTAATCACAAAAATGCGATGATGGTTTGATAAGTTCTCATAATATATCAAAATTAATTGCTAAATCTGGGAAATCTCATACCATCGGCGAAGAATTGATACTGCCGCTGTTAAGGAAGTTTTAGGAACAGTTTTACACTATCCAGCCTCATCTGATTTAATCAAAAATATCCCTTGCAATAATGGGTCGACATGGTGGGTTTTTCGCCGTTTTGAAGAGGGTGGTACCAGATATTTCAGCAGTTCACTGCGTGATTCACAGACAGTATTTGGTAAGAAAAAATCTCAGCGACCGTTTGCATCAGTCATTGCAATATGTCATATCTGCTGCGAACAAAATTCGCAGTAATGTTCTCAACGATTGATTACTCAGACAGCTGTTTAAGAAAAACTATGAAGAATATCGCTTGCTACTACACCGTGATTCGCTGGCTTTCCAAAGAAGCCTTGTCTCAATGGGTTTTTGAATCTTTTCGACTCTGTGCTTGAGTTCCTCGAAGACAGAATGTAGCTCTGAGAAACAGATTGCTAGAATTTAAGATAGACGTTGGTGGATTTATTTGCAAAATTTAATGGCGTTAATTTGCAACTTCAAGGTGACAAACTCAATTTGATCCCTACAAAATCAGTTATTTCTACATTTCTAAAAAAACTTATTTTTTGGAAGTAGAAATTTGGTAGGAATGAGTTCAACCAATTTCAAATCTTATTGTATCTTGAAAAGAATGGCGAAATTTCCTCTGATGATACACAAGAATATAGTTAACACCTTGACTCTTTGCACATGGACTTTTCTGACCGTTATAAATGTGTTTTGTTCTGTTTCCTTCAATGGGTTATTAACCCTTTTTTGAATATTGAAACAGAAGAGGTTCAAATTCAGGAGGAATCGGGCAAACTTTCAACTAATGAAGCTTTGAAATGGTGATAACTCACAGAATTTTGGCTTCAAGGTAACATTAGTCGCCTCTACTCTGGACTGTCGAAATTCTTTTGTCAAAATTCATTCTTATTTTCAAAATTATTTTTAATTTCCTTCCCTTTCTCCTGCTTCTTCGAACGTGGATTCAGTGCTGTTATGGATCAAGTCACAAAAAAGAGAAATGGACTCGAAATCATGCAACGAGGGGACTTGCGTCTTCACCTCAGTAAAAATATTTAACCGAACGTTAAGAAATTGGCTATGAACCATCAAGTACAATCATTCCACTGACATAGTAACTTGATTGTTTCGTTAATACTACTTTTATTTTTGGGTGTTTTTTTAATTATCTAATTAAGAACAAATGACTCTTTTTAAGCATAGTTTTCTTTGTTGAGCTTTTTTTTTTTCATTACCATATTTATTTTTATTATGACAAATAGACTGCGATTACCTGTCGGGAGAAAATTATAGAATTAACGTACACATTAAATTTTTTCAAAAAAAAAAAAACATGCAAATTTAACACTTAAAAAATTGTCTAAAAATGCATCTTATAATTCAGCACCCCCGTCCTCATGCTCTAAATAACTGGATTATCACAAAGAGGGGCGTTGATATGTTTTTTGCTTATTAAGGGGGCGGGAACGTTAGAAAGGTTGAGAATCTATGAGTTAAAGGGTAAATTTCCTAACATTTTCAAAGAATTTTTCGCTATAAATGAGACTTACGTTTGCGGTAGGCCAAATCTTAGGCGGTAGGCCAAATTTTCCGGTAGTTCAAATATTAGGAGGGTACAACCTCCATCGGAAATTAATAATTTAATTAAAGATTAGGGAAAATGTTAGATTTCACGGACAGTAAAAATATAGATCTTTATATAATTACTATATCATGGTGACCATAGATATCTACTAGATTTTTGAAGATAAATTTTAAAAATGAATTAATTGAGTTACTAGTCTTTATTATTTCGAAAATAAAGTTTATGGGCGTCGCAAGTGTCCAGTTTTTGAGGGGGGGGGGAGAAATTAAAATATAGTCCCACTCATTCTAAAAATTTCACACATAACAAAAAATATTTCTTACATTTTCTAAACATCTGCGAAAAGATTAATCTCTTTCTTAGATTTTACCTTTCATGAATTTAAATCGATGATGATTCGTGAAAATTTTTTCTATTTGTCTTAAATATTGAGAGGGACTTAAAGAAATATTTAATTATTGAGTAAAACATAAACTTACTGCCCTTTTCTATTCCAAACTTCTTGTCGTAGTGACTTTATCACTCAGACATATTTATATAAATTTATAATTTCTTACTATATATAAAAATCTAAAAATGTTTGTCGCAGTTTTCCATTGTTATCCCCGCATTTTTATTGGCCGGAAAATCACGTGGTAGGATTCAGATTTTCCTCATTCATTTCCATATTGTTTTGGCTCTCATCAGCATAAAATTGATATAAGTCATAAAGGTAGTGTTTTTCTATAAATATTTTTGTATCCCTAACATAAAAGTTATTTTCCTGTACTGCTATTATTACGTTTTTAGTTCAATAGTTTAAAACTAAAAGAATTTTTATTATTATTATTATCATAATGTAATTCTGCGCTACATTTTAAGATAAAGTTATTTAGAAAGGTGGTCTAATCTTATTAACCGTTTTACAATTATTATTGCCGATCGGCCTGTGTAGGGGGCAANTCAGCATAAAATTGATATAAGTCATAAAGGTAGTGTTTTTCTATAAATATTTTTGTATCCATAACTTAAAGTTATTTTCCTGTACTGCTATTATTACGTTTTTAGTTCAATAGTTTAAAACTAAAATAATAGTTTTTTTTATTATTATTATTATCATAATGTAATTCTGTGCTGCATTTTAATATAAAGTTATTTAGAAAGGTGATCTAATCTTATTAAACCGTTTGACAATTATTATTTTTGTGCATATAACATTAATATACAGTTATAATTAAAGAGATCCGTTAAATGATTTAGAGCTTAACGATCAGCTTCATGCACAATGAGATGCAAGCAAAAATAGTATTTATTATATCCGCCCGTTTGATAAGCGAAAATATTAAATTACGGTTGTAAACTCATCAAATTTGTTTGAGCAATTTAATGTTATAACAATATAAATGTTATTTTATGAAATGATTACTTACAATAATAACTTTTCACCAATAGATTTCAATATTTATAATATTAATAGATAATATTATTTGGACGTGGGAAGTAGAGGCACAAGCAAACAGAATTCCTTTTAGTACATATATATGTTAAGTGAACAGTTTTAACTTATGTAGAAACTCTATTTTCTGCCAAGAAAAAATAATAATTGCAAATCAATAATCAGGGTTGGTAAGCGGCAGCGAACAGGGGGCTTAGACCCCTAGTTAATTAATTTGTTGTTGTTTTTTTTTCATTTAATAAAGTCATTTTTTTTAAGAGAGATGGCAAGCGTGGGAATTCTCGACAATCAATTAAGAGTTTTTAGAGTTGGAGACAGTTTTATAAGCCCGTATCTTTCGGTACGTTGGTGTTGTGGGAGGAGGGGTCAGTAGTTAGCCGTAGGTTCTGACCAATAACTTTAAATTAAGGGCCAGATTTTTAAGATGGTTGGCTAGTGGGTCCACCAATGAGAAGAAGATTAAAATTTCTTGGATGCTGGAAATGGCAGAGAATTAAGAAATGATTTTCAAAGGATAAAGACGATAAAAATAAAGAAAATAAATGAATAAAAAAAATTTAATATTTCAGCCAGGAATTCTTTTTTTTTTCCTATTCTCATATCTATAATAAACATAATATAAATCTCTTTTTTTTTAAGGTTCATTAGGGATCCTCTTACATACTTTTTTTTCCTTATTTTTTACTAACTTATTTATTAAATCAACTGATGTAGAAGCATTAATCTTGTAAATAGAATCAGTATTTGCATTCTGCAAACTTCAACCCTCATCTTAGTAAAACTATTTTACGTATTTCATTATCAAAAAAGCTCTTGGCGATTTAAAATCACAAGCAAACGATTTAGCTTCTATTACATTTTTGCATACATTTTGTCACACTAATAATTAGTTTTAATTTTGCCCCTGTTATTGCTTGAAAATAAATAAAGATAATAAATTCGGTGATCTTAGATAAGCCCACGTCAAAGTCTCGTCACTTTATCTTTAAGAGTTTTATCAACAACAGCCAATGCGGTCTCGAGTCGTAAATTCTCCGTGAAATCAAAAAAATGAAAGAAATTCCACTGCTAAGTACGAATTTATGTGACTAATGATTTTTTTGAACCGGTTTCACTTCTGTGATAGAAAACAGAAAGTAAATTCTCTCCGCAAGAAAGCAAACGATTTTCTAAACTGAATAAACAACTCACCTCTTAAAAATATCGTCTGCCGGCGCGTGCAGCACAGATATCACTTCAAAGCAACATGAAGAGTAAATTTAATCGGAGCATGAATAAAGTCCTTTTGCCATCTTCAATTACTAGGAGTTGTAATTAAAGATGAAAATGCAACGCAGGAAACGATGATTTTTAGGCTACGTCACTTCCCAACTGTATCACTGTCAGTCAAAGCTACACCAACACCAGCGGATTTTTCGCAGAATAAATCACGTGACTCCTCTTTCTTCAAACAGTCCTCGTGGCCTCGAGCTATTTCGTAAATATTATGATTGAAAAGCTTTAGCTCGCTGATTCTCCGTTAGGATAAGATATGGATGAGTAAATTTTTTAGAAAAAATCATGAATGCATGTTGCTTAAACAGGGGGAAAAAAAACATAATTTTTAAATTAATTTAAAAAACGTCATCTCTATTAGTGTTTCCTTCAGAAAATTTTTCTTTGTCAGACGATAACAGGAAAATCATAAAATAATAATTATTCGTCTCCAAAATTTATTTGATTATGAAAAAAAATATTATTAAAACAGTTTTTTTCTGAATATTCTTTCAATACGAGGTGAAAATAAGATATGAATAATAAATTCATAAAAATGTCAATAATTAATAATTCAAAAACAATGCGCACAAAACTGGATTTAAATAATCAACATAATTAAAACACTTTAAATAATTCTTTAATTTCTTCTTTTAATTATTGTTTTTAACCCCTTCCGGTGACTTTACTTTATTTGATTAAGCAAAACACGTATTAGAGTAGGTTCAGCTCATGAAAATAAATATGAACTATAATCGATATTATTTCGCCCGAAAATAAAACTAATTGAAAAGGGATAAACACGATTATGAAGATTTGTCGCTGTTAAGCAGTTTTTTCGATAAATGTGCACTATAGAAAATAACTTTTTTTTATTTCAATTACCGCTGTTTTTAAATTATTTATTTTTTTCTTACGTTTTTACATTATTTACATTAAAAAATCTCTTCAAAATCATAATTTGAAACAAAATATAAAAGCGGTTTCAATTAATTTTCAAAAATTAACACGAACAACTTTGTTTACACATTGGTCAATAGTTGAAATTATTTAATATAATTTATTTTATAGCCGGTATTGAACAGAAAACCCGTTTTTGGTTGGCTTTGTGATTTTGAACCCAACCTAAAAGATAAGGGAACTCCTGGATCCAGAATTTTATTTTTATAACAGTGATCGATCGGCCGACCCAATTTTGGGTTTACGACTACTAATGTTCAACTCCGTAAACTTGTAATTTTGAACCCGATCTGGAAGACGAGGGAACTCCTGGATCAAATGTTAGGAGTAATTTTGCCTTCGAGGTATGATGGAACTAACCTGCATTTGCGTTACATGAAGAGGAAAGCCTCAAACTGCTAGTCTGACGGCAAGGGGATTCTAACCCATGATCCCTCTACCACTGATTTTTATGTCAGCACTGTGGTCGGTGCGAGCCGGACGCAGAAATCGTATCGACCAGCAGTTTCTGGGATTCGAAACCGATTCAGCTCACTGGAAATCAAACGCTCTATCCCCTGAGCAAACACGGCTCTTCAATCAAGTATTGAGAGAAATTTGCCTTCGTGGAGGACTTTTTGATGGAACTAACCAGCATTTGCACTACATGGAGAGGCAAATCTCCCTCAGCTAGTCATAACCCATGATCCGCCTATCACTGAGGATCCGTCTATTACGAATCCGGATTACCTCAATGGAAGGCGAACGCTTTATCCCCTGAGCCACCACGGTGTCTGGATCAAGTATTGGGGTAAACTATCTTTCGTAGAATACTATTTAATGTAACTAACCCGCATTCATGATAATACGGGTCGAAATGATAATACGGGTCATGAAAATACGGGTCGCACGATTCCAAAGCGCTTCTATGGCTGCGGTCAGCGTGCGGGTGGGTGACCACTTCGATCAGTCTGCGTAGGGACCGAGGGTGTGCGGTATTGATACTCGTTAAACTGTTCTACCGTAAAGTGCTCGACTTCGCGTGCAGGTCGTTGGGCTACCGAAGCGGGGGTTACAACAACAACTAAAGCGCTTCCAACATTCATTTTGTATTATTTTCATTATTGAATTTGCTTATGACAGCATTAATTTCAAAATATCATCGGAGTAGTTATAATCTGTAAAATGAGCCGTGATGGCTCAGGGGATAGTGCGTTCGCCTTCCAATGAGGTGTACCAGGTTCGAATCCCAGCGATTGCCAGTCAATGCGAATTCTGTTCCCCGCTTTCCCTGATCACATTAGTTGTTGTAGTTGTTGTAGTTCATTTACGTCGCACTAGAGCTGCACAATGGGCTATTGGCGACGGTCTGGGAAACATCCCTGAGGATGATCCGAAGACATGCCATCGCAATTTTGATCCTCTGCAGAGGGGGTGGCACCCCGCTTCTGTAGCCCAACGACCTGCACGCGAAGTCGAGCACTTTACGGTAGCACAGTTTAACGAGGACCAATACCGCTCACCCTCGGTCCCCTGATCACAGTGCTAACGTAAAATATCCATCCATGATAGACGAATCATGGGTCAGAGTCCGCTTGCCCTCAGGTTAACAGTGGGAGGTTTTCGTGGTTTTCCTCTCCATGTAATCCAAATGCGGGTTAGTTCCATCTAAACGTCCTCCACGAAGACGAACTTCTCTCAATAGTTGATCCAGGAGTTCCCTTGTCTTCTGGATTGGGTTCAAAACTACAAGGCTACAGAGTTGAACATTAATACTCGTAAACCCAAATTTAGGTCGGCTGCTCAACAACGGTTATAAAATAACATAAAATATCAAACCTATATAAAGTAATAACGAAGCAAATAAACCATGCTTCTACAACAGCGTTTGCAAATCTTGATCCTCTGCTGTGATGAGGAGTAATTTACTCAACCAAACAGTTTCACAGGGCAGTGGTGAACTGCTCTCAGTAATTGCCTCAGTTTTAGTTAATTCCTCGAAATTGCCTTAATTCCTCACAGTGTGCGGATTGTGCTTATAGGTTGGCCATTGACACATGAGGGATGCAATTTATGAATATCGTGTTCTATCTTGGCGATAAGCTTCTACCTGGCCAAGAAATATATCGAAACATAATATGCCAAATTATGCCGGGATTAAATTTGAGATATTGCAATCAGGATCAGATTTACAACTAGAAAATAATGCATTTCGAATATAATCGTGATTTAAATAATTTAATTTTTTAAAAGGAAATTACTGGTTCAAATCAGCTGTAATTGTTTTTAAAGAAGCATTAACTTAGACAAACATAATTTTCATAACATTAAATGTGAACATATCTAGTAAAAAAAATTTAATTTAAGTTTAAAATATTTTCATATAAAATATAAATCATAAATACATTCTTGAAGGTGGGCCGGTCGGTAGGGCGCTGGGCCCATGTCTGAGAGTTCGTAGGTCCGAACAGCGGCGGCCGGTGTTGTAAAGTGACTGGTGCACGTTAAATCTGTCGAGTCACAAAAATCCTCCACGTTCCCATAACAAATCAAAACCTTTGGGGGTACTGGATTGGAGATCGACCATTCTCTGATTCAGGTCAAAATTTCGATCTGTGGATGTATGAATGGGTCCGCCCTACAAACGGGTGCGACGCATGTTGTGACAGAAGTCGAATTCTTGGCCATAGATGACGCCACTGGAAAAAAAGAACAATCGCACCCCCTCTGCCTAAATTGGCATGCGTCAACAACAACATTCTTAAAGGTGTGATTTTTTTAGAAGTCTGATTTCAAAGGTAAGGATTGTTTTTAAGGGAGCCATTTTTTTACAATGAAATAATAAAAGCATTGAAATTACTATGTTAACAAATCGAAAAAAATCGCATTGTTCTATCTAAAATTTAGGCCAATTTTGAAAACTTCGAAAACCCCTTGTCACCTTAAAATTAACAAAAAAAAATTTTTTTCATTGTTTAAATATAGTTTGCATTTTAAAATTGCAGAAGTAAAAAAATTTACAAAACATAAAAAATTACAATTAAATAAAAATTGCACAATTAACCAAAAGATGGAGGAGCACTAATTAACATATTCGCCCACTGCACACTTGTTTCTGGCGATTATTATTGGCGAGACCACGACTTTATCAGAAAATGTTTTACTGCATGATTGAAGTAGGGCAGTGTTTCCCAAAGTGTGGTACGTGTACCCTCAGGGGTACGGGAACAGTTTAGCGGAGGTACGCGTTATTATGCAAAATAACTTGCAACAAACGAAAATTTCAAAACATTTTATTTAAAAACAAAGCTAGCCATGAAAATTTACGATGATGTATTTTTCTATTGGCTATTTTTTGCAGAGTTAACAGTTAATAATTAGTGGTGTCAACCACCAGTTGTGATTTTTGACTTTTGTGCAATTTTTTATAGTAAAAAATGCACTAATTTTTTATTAGTGGTACACAGCGTTACCAAAAATTTAGAAAGGTTACCCAAAAGTCGTGTTTCAATTATTATTTTGAGTAAGCTGTGTATTTTAATAAAATTTTCGAAATGAATTGTGTAACAAGTACTTTAAATCTGTTACGGAATCGTATGCAAGCATTTTTATTAGTCTGTTACAGAATCTATTTCGTTATTTAATTTCTGTTTAAATTGTTAGTAGGACATTTAAAAGAGATCCATGATGCTTACATTTCAATAAAAGAAATTATTGAATTAAAGGAATCATTGAGGAAAAAATAACATATTTTTATATTTTGAAGTACTTAAAAATATAAAGTGGTTGCAAGTTTTTTTTCGATTTTTTTTAGGTGAATTATTAATCTTTTTCAAGATGAATTTGAAACTAAGCGAAACGTAAACGTATTACAAAACTACGCTACTAGGACTTTAGAAGGTTGTTTTGGACTCGAAATATTTCAAACTTTCAGAATTGCGTTAATTTTTTTCCGAAATTTTTTTAAAAAATTACTATAATGTTACGACTTTGAGGGGTGTGAATGTTTTATTTCAGTTCATTTTCATTTATCCTACTTTGACATTCCTTTTCACAGTACCGATTTTTGGGTTTTTTTTTTCTTTCTCTTATAGTGGTCCACATTTTGATTTTTTTCTCAATTAATTTTAATTTTCTTTTTAAAGTGAATGTTTTGAGAAAAACTTCTTACATTTCAATTTCAAGAGTCAATTTTCTTTAAATTTGACAATCCCTCCTGTTAAGGTGTGCATGATAATAAGAAAAACAAGAAAAAATAAAAACTTTTGAAAAT